AAACCCAAATTTTTTAAAACATTAATCAGTTTGTCTGAGGATCGCTAAAGCGTGAAACCCAGGGTCACAAACTCACATCTATCCAACCAAATATGTTAGCTCTATCTCTGATATTGAGCGCTTTCTAATAAGTACCGCGCATATAATATATAAATAATTATACATATATATATTTGTTTATATTTATATACACTTTTCACACACACGCACACACACACAAACAAACACACACACACATATATATATATATATATATATATATATATATATATATATATGATTTTGTGGGGCCTCTTCCCTTTATCCCGATACCTTTCGCTATCCCCTTACAACAAACTCGGGCAATCGTCTGGCTGAGGCGTCGAAATAGGTAGGTTCTGTATCAATTTTTCGATTGCTGTCAAAGTTAAATCTTAAATCTCCGACACGAATACAATTCATACACCAGGCTTGAATAAGGAATAGCTCTATTTCAACTAACCGTTGAAATAGACCTATATACATATGAGGTAATTTTGGATTTTATTGTGAAATTTATATGCTCTGTTATAATAAATACATTGAGCTCTTTTCATGAATCAATTTAATATTTGATATTACTCGGATTTACTTGGATTATATACCATCCAGTTTATTACCTATATATATATATATATATATATATATATATATATATATATATATATATTCTTTTTTCTCCTCTCTCTCTTCTAGATTTTAAGTTTAGATCATATCGTTTTTTATTGTGCGTAGTGTCACCACAAATGTATACACAGGTTTCTGGTGTCTGTTTTTTTAATTTAAATTTAGGTCATGATTCGGTAGTGAGCTATGCATCGAAAAATAATTCATATTCATCTGTATCTCACTCATTTAAACTGTTATTTAAGTCCTCTCTTTAAAACTTCTCTCTGTTAAATTTTAATCCCCACCTTCACCTTTAGGCCTTCCTGTTCTCCTTTCTTCTGTTACACCCTCTCTCTAGAGCTTTCATTTCCTTCTCACACTTGTCTCCCTCTCCCACACGTACACTCTCACTAAAATTTTATTTTTTATACCCGGAGTTATATTTTCCGATTTCTTTTTGAATTTGTAGGTCTGATGAATTGGATTGTGATTACAATTCCAGTGTAATAAATTATAACTATGGAATATTAGTGTTTGAGCCTTAAAAATAAATATGCTAAAAATCCACCTTCATTCCTACCGTGCGCCGACGGCTTAGTGGTTAGAAGCTCCGACTGACACCAATTTCGATCCTAGCTAGAGGCAACCGGATGTCTAGCCACACTGATGAGCTATAAACAGCGAAACAGTCTGTCTGTGGATGACGTTATATATGTATATATATGTATATATATATATATGATTTATAATAACCTCTGATCCGAAAAGAGGGAGATGCAATATAACTTTTCTGGCATCCCATTCCAAGAAACATTGAGCAAATTAATCTCTTCTTATGAATCTCTGAAAGAAAACGGCTTTAAGTTGAGAGGCTTCTATTTCAAACAGGATATTTTCAGTGGCTGATCTGAACACCCATCTGTCTCTTTAAGCCTCTTAACATTGTTTCATTGTTCGTTTCAACTGATAAATTTATGACAACGAAATTGAACGACGAATCTTTAAGCCACCCATGAGCTTCGAAAAATTGAGCCAATCAAAATATTCTAAAGACTGCAGCGAAAAATGTTAAAGACACCGTAACCAAAAAGCTGCGAGAAAACTGCCAAAGAGGAATTGTAATAGAAACACTTAGGAAACTGCGGTAGAAAGTTTAAGGAAATTTTTAATGCTATGTAGTAAATGAAATTGAGAAGAACTTCAGTTGTAAGAAGCCAAAATGTATTAATTGTCAGCCGACTCGAACGACGAACTGGAGTCATCAAGTAAATACAATAATTTAAATATCTAAGTAATTTAACAGAGGGCGGAATATATGACACTATTGCATTTCAGTATTGCATTTTCCGTACCCTCTTAAAACATTTGCCAGATATTTAATTTGTTGTACCTGTTTGATTTTGCTATCTCCAATTTGTAATTTGCATGTTGGGCTGTCCCTTTTTACTAACATCAATGCATTCAGTCTAATCTATGAAGATTACTTCTCTTTTGCTTTTGAGAGATGGCTTGAGAAATGTGTAGGCGTTGTGAGTTTAGGCCCTGACACTGATGATTGACTTTACCGGCGATACATAGTAGCAGCAGCCAAAACTCTGATAGCAGCAGAAGCATATTGGCGTCTTTAAAGACCTATGCTTTCAAAAAGAAACTCTTCTTAATGACCATAACGAAAAGTGGATACTTAGACTGTACTGTTATTGATAGGCGCACCTTTTCCACAGCCAAACTTTTATTTCTTAGTTCCAATTTTATGGAATTAATATTTCATAAGATTTCAGCCTCTCTTGTATTTTACTTTCGTTTTCTAACGTTTTGTTGAAAACATATAGGATGGTCTAGAGACCACCTTGGTAGATGCATTCCACTTCAAGGGTTATAATTTAATTTAATTAGTTTCATTAATTTTTTTTCCATCATCATTTATCACAAAGTTCCAGGTCGACATCCACTTCGACCATTGGAACAAACTGGTCATTTACAATACCGGACAATAACGCCTCCCCCCTTAGCTGTGCTAGGTATTCTCCGAACAAAAAGCAATAAGTGTTCATGTGGCATTATGGGGCGCATTCACAGAATGATGTAAACCATTAATCACGGATTACCTATCTTATATACGCATGTGTTCATCTTTCGACCGGTAAACAATACCTTTCATCAAGCAGTTAACCTTCAACGGGCGATTTGCCGAATATTACATTTCTTCTCTGATGACTTTTTTCTTGAGTCATTTTCTCGATATTCGTCATGTTCCACGTACAGCTTTAACTATATATAGTTAAGTAACGAAAATCTTGTTAATCCCAAGGAGGATGAAATCCTGAGAGCTCAATGTTAAGTCAGAGCGAATAATTTAATTTAAAGAAAGTGGACTGTTTTTTTTAAATTTTAAATTATATATATATATATATATATATATATATATATATATATATATATATATGTGTGTGTGTGTGTGTGTGTGTGTGTGTGTGTGTGTGTGTGTGTGTGTATACATATATATTCATACATACATATATATGGTGGGAGCTGAAATATTCTTGGCCCGACCAAGAAAGATCAAATGAATTCTGACATTTGATCATATTCTCGAATATAACATCTTAATATTTTTTATATCATTTCACCCCCCACAAGGCAATAAAACTCCTAAGATGCAAGGGCTAACTGCGAGTGAAACAATCTAAGAAATACATTTACTGAGGAGAGAGGACATTAAAAGAACAGGATTCAAGGAGACAGAAAATTGTGATTTAGGTTGCATTTACCTTTTTAAAGATCAAAATTGACCAGAAAGTAAGAAGCCGGTAGTGAGTCCCACAAGCGAGAAATGCGAGAGAATAAACTGCTAGTTCTAACTTATGGTTACAGGTAGCAATTTCAAGTACGAAATGATAAAAGTTACCAATCCAGTAGTGCGCTTAAAGTCGATGTACAAAAGAGAAAAACTCACGGGAACAGTTAACATGCAAATAAGTCAATATATTATTGGCCTGTGAAGGTGCAATGACACACTCTCTTGGAGGTTAACATCAGATCTGATGATGAAAGGCAAAAATGTTTATCTAAGACCATTAAAAGAGAGTAATATCGCCCTAGAGGCACGAAAAATTAAGCCATTTTTTTAAGCCTCGGATTGAGGTCAACTGCCAATTAAACTTTATCAAACCTACAAGACTTATTAAGATAGGAGCAAATAGTTGTGTCATCGACATAGATACCGAATCGAGGGCTGATAACATCGGGAATGTTTACAAAGCACAATCACTTTTATCACATACAGGCACACAAAAAACACACGCCCCCCACATATATATATATATATATATATATATATATATATATATATATATATATACGCGTTTCATTAAAGACGACAAAGTACAACAAATAAGATTATTATTTAATTTTTCTTGTGTTCAAACAAATATTTTCTTTTCTGGACACAGAGTGAGTAGAAAAACTATAGCCGAAAGCGCTCGAAATTATAGAGCATTTGGACAGTTTAAAAAGCTTAATCGTGGTACCTTGTCTGTTGTCTTTAGTAAAACATGTATAATCGAAGGATTGCTACCTAAATACACAATATATATATATATATATATATATATATATATATATATATATATATATATATATATAATAACAATTTAGAAAACTTAAATTTAGACATTTCACCGATGAACTAGTGAGATAAAACTGATTCACGTTAAGCGGCTGTACTGTTAGTTTTGATCATGAGTGATCGATTTGATTCTTACGGCTTATCAAGACTTTTCAGGTTATTTAAAATAGAAAATATTTTTAGATTGTAATTATTTGTGGGGGGGGGAGATAATTAGGGTTTATTGATAACACTGTGGATACCGTGGACTGAACATGTGAACTACAACGAAGTTTTAGAGAAAATGGAACCAAAAAAAGAAGACAAATACTTAATCAGAGACTATTAAGGTTTCTGGGGCATAGAATGAGGAAAAAAGGCCTTGGAAAATCTTATACACACGGGACAGAAAGAGAGCAGGAGGGACAGAGGAAAACAATGCATGACATACTTATTGAGCTTCAGTAAATGGATGGTGGAACAAGGTTTAGGAGAGATTAAAAAAAAGATAAAATTTATTAACAGCTACAAAGGACAGAAAGTTATGATCACCTACGTCCGGAGGGGATACGGCACATAAGAAGAAAGAAGATTTAAACCTTACAAATGAACCCATAGTTGGTGGAAGAAGAGATAAGATTCATACCTATCCTAAAGGTTTTTGCGGGAAGGTAAATATAACGAACCCAACGAGAATTGAAACTTGGTTCCTCCTTTAACAATTCCAGGCAATTATTCATTACACCACCCGCACATCCAAGCTTATAGCAGCTTGTACTCTCAAGCGGTCACTAATCTCAGTACTAACCAGGCTCGATGTTGCTTAACTTCTGTGATCGAACAGGAACAGCTGTTTCAACGTGATGTGGTCGTAAACTAGTTCGGATTAATAATTATTTACCCTGAAACAGCCACGTTAAAATTTTTACTGTATAATTGTTGGTGTATGTGATTAATATTTACTACTGAATTAAGTGCATTGACATGTACCATTATGTTGAAAAATGTATATATTATATGGAAAATATGGGCTTTTCTTCGTAATTCTACAGACACATTGATATACCTCCTGACGTATAAGCATAAACACACGCACACACACATACACACATACACACTTCTATATATATATATATATATATATATATATATATATATATATATATATATTGTAACTAATAAAATCTGCATTTCATTGTAATGGTGATTTTTTTTATAAAAACACGCATGAACGCGGTCTATTATAATTATTTTAATATTTAATTTTATCTGTTGTAGCTATGGAAGTAAAAAAGGAAAATTACCATCACAACAAAATGGAAAGATAAGTAAATATAATATGTTTATATTATTCAATGAAACACACACACACATGTGCATATATATATATATATATATATATATATATATATATATATATATATATATATATATATATATATATATATATATATATATATATATATATATATATATATATATATATATATATATATATATATATATATATATATATATATATATATATATATATATATATATATACATATATGGACTCTCGTCGTGGATTCGTCGTATTCGACGTATGAGGGTCAAGCGGCTCATTTCCTCGTAACCTACAGTCCGGACACCAGCATATATGATTTGATTATAGTGGTGAAGGTTTGTGCAGAACCAACCACACTTTTTCAAAGGCCGAATACAAAGACCTGGTACACTCTGTGCCATTAAGTTCCCCAAACGACCCCCTGCAGTTGTGTGTGTGTGTGTGTGCGTGTGTGTGTGTCTGTGTCATTTTTAATTTTGTTTAAACGTTTTTTTTCATGGATACCCATATTCGAGTAGAAGGTCTGTTTTTTAATTAAACAGTATTTTTTTTATCCAACTACATCTACCGGTCTGAATATTCGAAAAATTTTGTTAGAAAAACTATGCATCACTCGGCAAAATTCGAACCTGCATCCCCTATGGGGGAAACAGATCATTAAGTTTGATGTGCCTGACCGTTACGCAAGACTTCCAATGAAAACCCCAAGCCCGAATAGTACATTTTGAAGCCACACATTCTCTGCCGATTCTTGAAACGACCATATCTGTTCTGTATCGTATCTTGACGTAAACAAAGAGAATTTATTTTTAGAAAATGGATTAATTCCGACTTATTTTTAATTTTATTTTGTTTAAACCTTATTTTTGATAGATACACATATTCATTTGAACACACACTTCTCGGCTGATTCTCTAAACATTCATATAGACAATCTGCAAAACACAGTCGTCATGACCTGACGATTGCGTTTATCATGAAACAGACTGTCGCCTCTGAGTGTTGAATTCACCCTTTTATATTTGCATGCGCCCTATCAATGATATTGAGCATTTTAATCCATAGATATAGCATACTTTAAAACTATATTTTATCATACACACACACACACAATATATATATATATATATATATATATATATATGTGTGTGTGTGTTGTGTGTGTGTGTGTGTGTAAAATATGATGGAAGGGACAGAGAAAAAATTCTTAATAGTTTATGAAATCCGGAAGTACTCAAACATTGGACAATTTATATTTCAGTATGTATACCGGAAGCCGACAAAATGCTCAGAAATAGCAAAAAAATCTTTTGTCATATTAGTCTTTAACCAAACTTGAAATGATAAAAAATTTGCGTCCAAATACACACACACATTCACTCTCACACCCCTGCCTGCCTGCCTCTCTCTCTCTCTCTCTCTCTCTCTCTTTCTCTGTATATATATATATATATATATATATATATATAAAAGTGAACTTTGAAGCCAACTCTTAGAGGCAACAGTCTGTTTCATGCTAGACGCAATCGACAGGCCACCTGACGAGTGCATATAGCATGAAACAGCCTGTCGCCTTTATGTCTTGACTTCAATGTTCACTTTTATATTTAGACACGCTCTATCTCCGATATTGAGCACTTTATCCCATAAATATAGCACACCTTAAGACTCTATTTCTTTTATATATATATATATATATATATATATATATATATATATATATATATATATAATGGACTCTCTTGTCGTGGGTGTCAAATGAAGATTCAGTAAAGTAAAGAGTTCTCAACTCTTATGGCAAACTTAACACTAATGTATCATTGAAAATTTGATCTTTAACTTCATACTTCACAAATATTGGCGCTGCACGATCATTCGTTGTTTTGCGAATCATTGCTTTCGTCTGTTTATAAAATGTTCGACACCCTGTCAATGTAAAGTTTTTTTTTAATTGTCTATTACTAAATTTTTTGATTTAATCTTTCTTATCATATCCCAAAATGAAAGTTGTCTTGAACGGCCACGCTACTAAATACCCCCCCACCCCGGGTTTTATCCTTTGACCTACTTTGGTCCTAATTTTTATCAACTACCTTGCCGATAAAATCAGTTCTCGACTCAGTATCTATGCTGGTGACTCAACTATTTACTCCTTAATGGTAAGTTTGATAGTTTTAACAAGGTCAAATTGGCTATTGATCTAGAAATGATGTTCAGTCTGTTGTTAAATGGGGCAAGAAATAGCCTGTTCATCTAAACACCTCCAAAACAAAACTGTTCTCTTTTAATCTGTTTAGAGAACCTTTTTGCGTTCCATCAGGATGGCTGATGTTAACTTTTAGGAGAGTCACTCATTGCGCATTCTCTGGATAGCGTTTTCCACGGACATGAAGTAAAATGATTCTATTGAATCATTTTCTAGATTTGTTGCTAAGAAATTTGGTTTAAATCATTCTCACTAGAATCTCTTTTACACCTTTATAAGTTTGCGATTCGTCCAGTCATTGCATCTTGCTGTCACATCTGGTTTGGTGTTTCTGCTATATATTATATATATATTATATATTATTGACAAAATCCAATGAAGAATCTGCAGTGTTCTTGGTCCTGGCATGTCATCTCGACTTCAGTCATTTTCCCACCGCCGTAACGGAGCTTCCATATGACTTTTCTATAAGGGTAACTGTTCTGATGTGATTTCTGACTTACCTTGACTTTATGAATTCAAGCGCGGTACTAGATTGTCAGTTAGGTCTCATTATTTCACTTTTGAAATGTTAATTGTAACTGTAAGTTCTAGGATAAGAGTTTTCTTCTTTCTCACTTCTCGCTCGCTGAACTCTCTTCCGGCTTCGTGCTTTCCAGTCAAGTTTGATTTCAAAAATTTAAATGCAACATCAATCGTCATCTTTTTTATTGAATCTTGTTCTTTTATTGTCCTATTTCCTTAATAATGATATTCCTCCGATTCTTTCACTTTCAGTAACCTCCTTGCGTCTTAGTGGCTTTATTGCCCTGCCTGGTTTGAAATGATACAAAATTAACATCGATTAACTCAAGTTCACATTTGATTCTTCTATACGAAAATTAAAAAAATTGACAAAGGACTAGCTTGGAAGTAATTAATTAATAACATCATTTTGTAAGAAACAAACTTACTTTTTTTTATATAGACATTAAGCTTAATAACACGAAACTAAATCTCTCAAACAACAAATATTATACATACAAATTGAATACTGCTGCCATATCTGGTCTGGTGTTCCTGTTAATCATCGTGACAGTATCCAAAGAAGGATCTGCAATGTAATCCATCCTGACCTGGCATCTCGACTTCAGTCACCGACGTGACGTAGCCCCACTCTATCTCTTCTACAAATATTTTCATGGCAACTGCTCTGACGAGCTTTTTTTTTTTCCTTGGTGCCCCGACTACAGGAATTTAAGCGTTCTGTTCAATTGAAATCTAGCCCCCCCCCGTTTACTACTGAAATAGCTAAATGCAATCGCCACTTCTGCTCCAACGGCTTCTTTTCTCGCACTTCGCGCCTGTGGAAATCCCTTCCGTTTATTTGCTTACCTGATAACTACAATTTTCAAAACTTTAAATGCAACGTTAATCGCCATCCTTTATCTTCTTGAACCCTGTTCATCTTTTGCCCTTTACTCAATCTTCCTTATACTCAGCATTTTCTCTCACTTTCACTCCCTGTAACCCCAATGCGTACTAGTGGCATTTCCGCCTTCCTCGGGGTGAAATGATTAAAAACTAAATAAAAAACTAAATATTACAAAATACTCCGGATATCTTCAATTGTGTGTCTTTGGGTGTTTTCTCTGAACGTGTATTTTTTTCTAGCGAGGATATGAGAGATTTTCTGTGAGGTGCGAATCTGCAACTGGTGGCTGTGAGGTTACCTTTCAAGTCAACCCGCTGATGCACCTGACTTCTCTGATGTTCTGGTGGGATACTGAGTATAAAGTCTATTTTGGTGACCTATGGAGTGAGGCCAGTACACGCTGTAGTCATCACAGGACAATCTCTCTTAGAAAACATTTCTTTGATGACATTAAATTTGATTCAGACAATGGTAATTCCTGGAGTGAATCATAGTCAAGAAAAAAGAGCCGAACTCGTATAAAATACTTATTCTCTATACAACAGGGAATGCTGAACAATCTTTCACAGATGAAGAAGACACCTTAATTCCGAGTGACATGATTCTACCAACGAATTCTGAGAATACCTTGAACAGAATGTATGAGCCATGATGAAATTTAATGGAAAATACGAACAACAAAGACAATTATACTTACAATCAGAATGAGTCATATGAAATATGTGTAACACGTAATGAAGAAAGATGGCCTAGAAAATTCACAGGACGAAAGTAAGAGAGGCAGTTTGGGTTTTGGTTTATTTTTTATGGCATAACAAACTCAATGGATTATTTAATGCCGACAAAATTTTTAGAATAGATTTTAATATGTATTCTTTGTAAGAAATCAGCTTGTAGGAGATCAATTCTCCTAGACGTATTTTTGTAA